CCGTAGCACTGGGGAGTACTAGCTAAATGCCCAGAAGTTCATCATCAGTACTCGATCCAGTCAGAGATGCCCAGAAGTTCATTGTCAACACTCGATTCAGTCAGAAGTGCTCAGGGCTTTGTCGTCGACGCTTGAGCCAGTTCGGAGGCAGTTAGGGCCTCATCGTCAGTGCTTATTCAGCTTCATCCAGATATAGCAATTTTCTGTGATATAGCTCAAGACCTCAGCCATAGCAGTTTGCAAGCACAGGAGTCACCAATTGCATCTCACAGATACACACACCCACCATCTAGCTGTCGACTGCTTCTCAGTCCAACACCCCACTCTGATCAAGTCCAACACTCACCGATCTGAGTTTGTGAACTGACCCATTTCAAGCAACACAGCTGAACGACTCGCAGCTGCCCATCACTGCATTATTATCTGAAGTTTCCTGTGAATGTAGCTCAAAGGAACCGCAGACAGAGAGCCTCAGTTTACCTTCCAAGTAGGGTTGGTTAGGAGTGCTGCTCATGGCCAGGATGTGGTTGAGCATATCACTGAGCCTGAGCTGAGCTGAGCCTGAGCTGCCTTCCTCAGGCCTGGCCTGCGTTGGTGATAGGCCTGAGCCTGCTGAAGCCAGGGCTTTTGAGCCAAGCTGGGCTGAGCACATCACTACTCTAGACTCTTTCAGCTCATAAGTCAACTCCTTTGGATTGCAGTGACTTGTTATCTGATAGCATGAGAGTCGAACACATTTTCTGTCATTTTTTGATTGCAGAACATTTCAGTGCATATGCACACCATACAGATGAACTTGCATCTGAACTGAACTGAGATTTTGTCTTATATCACTGAAGGTCTTAAACTAGGGTCCAGCCCAGTTCAAGGCATCACATCACACCCTATGAGCCTATGGTCAAAAGGATACAGTAATCTGACAATGCTTGGCTTGTACAATGTAGTACAAGCTAGTACTGGCTGTTGTTGTTGTACAAGCTAGTACTGGCTGTTGCTTCGTTGGTACATTGTAGTACAAGCTAGTACTGGCTGTTGCTTTGCTTGTACAATGTAGTACAAGCTAGAACAATATAGTGCAGGCTAGTATTAGCTAGTATCAGCTTGCACTTTATACTAACCATCATTAGCACAAATTGGTGCAGGTCAACACAACTTAACTCTAAACAGAAGATAATGCTAATGAGCATTTAAAAATATAACACAGACATATGATATCAATGAACATTTTAATAATATAGATAACTTGATAGGCACATTGTGATCAGAGGCAGACTCATAGAGCATAATGATTGTGATTCTCGTAATGTTCTATTGTAAATTAGGATCATGACATGAAGCCCATCAAGTTGTGACATGGTCACAATACTTACAGAATATTTGACTAAAAATTAGTGAAGTCATATTTCCGTGATTTTTCTCAATGATCTCATCATAACTCCATCATCTTATGACTCATGAAACTTTGACAATTTCTTGAATATTGTTCCTAATAATCACCATGCAGGACTAGAAAAATATTGAAAATGATATTTTGAATAGTTTGTACAAGACATTAACAATGTCCTTTGCTTTATACATTGCCGATTGTGGAAAGCATATCTTCAATAATTCTCAATTTATTCAACCGAGAATGCCCTTACATGATTTGAACTCTTTTTCGTACATTATCTCAATTATATGATGTGAACTATCGCATTTTTCACCCAGTGGGATGGCGGAAGGAAGAATAAACAAGACGCGAAACAAGGAGAAAAAAAGAAAATGTGAAATAGGGCGCTACATAAAAATAGCACTGCGGGATAATAGGCTTGGCATCAGCGATGACACGGATGGTTGCTGCCGCCGGGTAAACGTACGGGCTGGACTCCAGAGTTGGCGGAGGTCAACCAGCAGCGGATACCGGTGCGTATATATTGTGGAATCACAGCAGCGGTCGCTCGTCGTCGCTCGTCGTTGAAGGCAGACATTGCGCTTTGTTAATCCACAACGCAAGGGCTACTCAAAAATCCAGATTCCTCTCGTTATCATACTCGAAACTCCGCAATGCACCACCGGAGGGAGCAGAGCGGATCCATCCATTCACGAGGTCCTCCTTATCGCGCTCAGAGTCGGGCGTCCCCTGCTATCACCGAACGCTTGTACGAATTCAGGCTGATGATGCGTTGATGGGAGCAGATAGGTAACAACTTGCCGCACACGACCCTGAGTGGAGCGCTTTACGCGCATCTTTTTTCTTGAATACGATTCATATCCCGCATGCTGTAACTAATACCACAGATAGCGGCCAGTAATCGGTACGGACTCCGTTGTGGGTGCAATGCGGCTTTACGTGTATCAGTGAACGTTTTACGGTGACGGCGATGTCGCCGGTACGCGTAACCAGTAGCGAGTTGCCTGACAGCTGCGTAGACAGCAGCACTGCGATGTGCTACCATAGTGACTGCGTGGGCCCTGACTCTAGCATGCGCGACGGACCAACTTTCAATGGATAGTTCTTGCGTCAACCAATAGGCAACAGCTACTCACGTCGCTCCGTAATAAGTAGCAATCGGTACGCACGCACACAGCTGCCTGTTACCCTCCGTGCCTAGGCCCGCCCCGAAGCCCTTCATGTAGGAAGGTGCATACACTGAAGCATCCATCCATACTCAATGTGACAGATTGTGGGTAGGTCGCCGGGCCAAAGGCGGCAGCCTCCGCACCGCACCGGAAGAGGCAAGCGCCAACCCTGATTTAGCAGCCATTGGCCCATGAGACAGGCACGGTGGAGCGGGAGAAGGGCGCGGCGAGTGTAACGGAGGAGCAGCAACGTGCTGCATGCCGAGTCATTAGGTGGGTGTTCGGAGCGGGAATGAAATTTGGAAGGGAAGTGAAACACATGTTAGCCTAGGAAAGGCATTAATGTCGGGAGTAGGCACACACCGAGGTAGCAAGCGTACTGAAAAGGTGCGTTGTTATCCTTGTGGCCAGCATTAAATTTATTCATCTGCCAACTCCAGACAGCAATGCATTCAAGAAGGAGTGAGCTCTATTCGAGCACCAGTGCTGCTTGCTATGTGTGTACGGTGTGGCATCCCCGTCGCTTCCATGCATGCGCCGTACGCACGATCAGCGCTCACTTTAAGTCGGCTCGGAACAGCAGTCACGATCGAGGGTGACCTTCTAGCGCGAGTTCACCGATCCTTCAAGCTTCAAGCGTCAACTCGCGGAACTATGCGTCGGAACATCACGTAGAGATACGCACCGTGAAGCGCGCTCTCCGTTCTGCTTCTGTTGCAAAGCCGACCTTTCGGTCCACACAGATTGACAGACGGGTGTGTACACTTATCGATACTGAATTTCGGGTGCTCAGCAGCGCTATGCATATCAGCATACAATGTATACAAATGAACGGAACAGTACGTATGCATCCGAAGCTGTGCACGGCGTAGCATACCACATGCATGATCGGCGATCACCGCCTTGCAGTCGAACGCTGAGTTGCGGGACCGAACTCGGCCGCCAGCACGATCGAGCATTACCTTTCAGTTTCAGTGGCAGTTCGACGCCCTTCACGTAGTTCGTGTACCGGAAATGGCACGGGCTTTTCGACAAGGCATGCAGTATGTATCGTCTGTGTGCCGATCGTTGAAAAGACGCATATATAGTGATCGACATCCGGTGAGTCTGTGCCACGGTACTTACCGTTGAGAACCAGCGACCGACTGGCCGTCGTGCCAAGCTCGGAGAGATTTAGCGTCCGTGTCGAAGCCTGAGATCGTGCGTGAGCTCTCTGATATATGAGGTCTGAGGTGGCGTGCGGCGTCTTCGAGTCGAAGACGAGCACGGAGCTCGGCTCGATTGGCCAGAGGCGCATATAGCAGCTAGTAACTTATACCACGAAGAAGCTATCCGAATTCCTTGTTTTTTTTTTGTGCAGTGGGCAGACATGATTGCCGAGGAGGAGCAGGCCTGCTTTCTCATATTAGCTGGTGAACTTTTGACCAGCATGCAGCACATATCTGAAACTACAGACCTTCTGTGACTCAGATCAAGCTTGTGGTCTCCGATTGGCCATCTCTGGCGGGCGTTAGAAGATGTAGCAATGAGACCAGTCCTTCCAGATAGCAGGACCTCCATCAACGTAACCAAGCCCAGGATAAGCTCCGCAAAGAAAGCATTGACTTGTATGCTATGCCGTATTTCGCCCTCTGCGACATGCTGTATGGTAAGGGCTCGAACCGGATTCAAACCGTCAGCTCTGCACTGTTCGTGCTCCACATAGCCCGCGATGACGTGCATGTCGGCTCCCGCATGCCCGCGCTAACAGCGGGTGCGTATCGTGGTGCCACTATTTTAGTTAGGATGTAGAAGTGCAAGAGCGGCTTGGCATAACGGAAAACGGAACACGTACGGGCGGTCGATATGAGCTTGATGCGCATTGTCTGTGCGAGGCGGGCGAACAGCCGTTAGCACGCACGCCGCGGGATATGACCCACGATCTCGGGTAGACATGATACGGTCCGTGGCTGACATCGTCAGGCAGCACGCTATCGACAGTCACTGGTCAATGGTCATCCCTTGGCTATGGAATTTGGCGGACGATGGACGTCCGCGAGAACGAAGCAGGGAAGCGTGTTGCCGCTGCGGACTCGAGCATATTTCGGTTCAATGCAAGCGCCGGCCTTCGCGACGCTGCGGCGAACCAGATAACGGCATCAAAATCCGGTTCGCTACGATATCTAGAACTCCGTTTCATGGCCGGGAACAATCACAGCAAAGAAAATACCGATTCTGATTCCAGGAAGGTGTTAAAATTGAATTACAGTAAGTAGTCATTTCCATGTCGGGCCAAAACCGTATAATTTTCGTCCTAAAATTGGCCTAAATATTTGGAGATTAAGGGCAATTCATGATGGGATTTCGGCGTCCGCGGCTGGCGTCCGGACGTTGTCTCTTTCTCTCCTTTCTCTTCCATCCTTTCCCTTCCATCACCACCCAGGCGCAGCGCCGTTACCTTCCTTTCCTCACCGCCCTCCTCTGCCTCTCTATCCTCTCACCGCTCGCACAGCCGGGTGGGCAGATTGCATAGTGCAGACAGAATACGACACGAACACCACCACCCATCCACCTACCAAGACTTCCGCGGAAACTAGACACACGCGGTCGGGATGGATTACGACCGCTACGATGCCTTTCTGCACCACATCTTCAAGGAGACCCAGGGTGACGCGTGGTTCCGTCCCAACGAGGACAACCTCAGCGCCGGTGTCGCCCTCCGTGTCGACAATGGCCCCGAATTTCGTGTCTTTCCCTATGAGAATCTCGCACTCGAGCCCTTCGAGGCTGCCGTCAGCGCCCTCAATCCCGCCGTCGCCGTCAAGGTTCGCAGCGCCGCCGTCCATGCGGCCCTGGCTGAGGTGTAAGCGCCCCTTCCGTCTGACGTCTGCTAACTCTGAACATGCTCGCTGACGACGATTCGCTCCCTCTAGTGGCCCAGACGACCGGTCAATCTACGTCGACGCCAACACTCGCATCCAGATCATCGAGACGATGATGGACCTCCCTGCAGCAGACAAGGAACAAAGCGCTGCGTTCGTCGTGAGTTGTCCCTCTCCTTTCATCCCCGCCCCACCATTTGTCCTCCCTCTCGCGTTTCACGTCATGTCGTCTTCAATTTCGTCGTGCGCAGCGGGTGGCGCCTGCCGGATTGGGATGAGGATGATCGAATTGCCCGCTGGCGCTGTTGCCTGATTAGGCCAGTCCGGGCGTTGCGTGTGCCTGCGCCAATTCGAGCCCTTTTGGCTGCGCCGCTCCCGCTGTGAGGCGGATGAGTGCGAGCCGGCGGGGTGCGGTTACGCAGGCGGGAAGGCGGTTGCCAGGAGGCGAGATTGGCGCCGGGCCTGTGCGCGGTGTGCCTGGAAGAGAGCCGGTACCGCATCATGGTAGTCCGGTGCGTTGTTGTTGGCGGGACGTGCAAGTGAGAGATCGTGTCGTGTGGCGGCGGAATTGTTGGCGGCTTCCTTGCGTGGACGCGGATGCTGACAAGGACGATTTTGTAGCGCGACGAGCGAGTGCTGGTCGTGTGGTCCGACTCGATCGACACCATCATCCCGACCTGCCACGAGTTCGAGGAGCGGCTCATCAAGCTCCTCTGGCGATCAAGACCAACCGCGGGCAGCCAAGCTGCTAGTGCAAGTAGTCATCCGGCGAGTATCATCAATGGTGAGTGGTCCGCTTCGTTGACTTCTTTGAAATCTCTTGCTGCCGAATTTTTCGCTGACTTGGCGTGACGGCAGGCTCGATCTCGGGACACTCACTCAACCCAGTCAACTCGCGGCTATCGGGACGCATGCCTGGCACACCGCGCGGCATGGGTCGAATGTCATTGGAGATGACGGCACAGGACCTCGAAAAGGGCGGGCTGACCAGCAACGAGCCGAAGACGAAGACAATACGGACGTGGTACGGCAAGAAGAAGACGATCATCATCGAGCCGGAGATGGCGGAGCTCGAGGAGCTCGCATCCCAGAAGCGCGTCGCGGTGCTGTATGCGCCGGTGTATAACGGTGCGGCGGCGGGCCTCGCGATCTATTTCATGGGTACAGGTGTCAAGACGCTGCTGGACGAGTCGGCTTTGGATGGCACGTACATCCGCTTTGCACTATGTGTGCTCATCCCCTTCCTTTGGTCCGTCTCGCTCTTCTTCGCGCTGCAAATCATACAGAACGTGTCGATGGCGATTGGCCCGATTGCGCAGTACCATGAAAACTCGAAGTACTACTCTGCGATCAAGCCAAGGCCGAACAAGCTGGTGGACAACAACCTTCCACATATTACGATTCAAATGCCGGTATACAAGGAGAGTTTGGACACTGTGTTGTAAGTGCTTGTTTTGGTGAGAACGGTCAAGGGTGGTACTGATGAGGCGGCATGCCAGGGCACCTTCGATTGAATCTATCAAAAAGTCTATGCAAACATATGCTCGTCAGGGCGGTACGTCGACAATCTTCCTGAACGATGACGGTCTCCGGCTTCTCCCGGTCGAGGAGCGCGACGCGCGCATCGCTTACTATGCAAACCATGGTATCGGTTGGGTCGCACGCCCGAAGCATGACGAGTCGGCCGACGGCTTCAAGCGTCGCGGGCGTTTCAAGAAGGCGTCGAACATGAACTACGGGCTGAAGCTGTCGCTGCTGGCGGAGAAGCACCTCGAGCTTCTGCTCGCGCAGGAGAAGGAGCGCGGGCCGCGGACGCCCCGGCCGAGCTCGATGGGTGATGATCATCGGTATGGGATGCAGTACCAGCACCAGGACGGCGGGAACGCAAGCGTGGTAAACGTCGGCGGTGAGGACGAAGAGAAGCCCGCGTCAGACGACTGGGAGCTCGAAGAGAAGGCATTGCAGCTGGCGATTGACGACGTGTACGAATCAAGCGGACGCCGGTTCCGGCCGTGGGCAGCAAATGGCCGCGCTTGCCGTGTTGGCGAGATCATCCTGATTGTCGACTCGGACACGATCGTGCCAGAGGATTGTCTCAGGGACGCTGCACGCGAGATGGCCGAGTGCCCGGATGTCGGTGTTATTCAGCACGAGTCGGACGTCATGCAGGTTGCGCATCACTACTGGGAGAACGGTATTGCGTACTTCACGCGGCGTATCAACAAGTGTATCTCGTACGGTGCGTGGTTCTGTTTGTAAAATAGTGAGGACGTGGCTGATGCTGGTGTTTCTTTATTAGCCTGCGCTAACGGTGAGGTCGCGCCGTTCGTAGGCCACAATGCCTTCTTGCGGTGGCGTGCGGTTCAGGACGCGACATTCATGGATCCCTTCGACGGCGAGGAGAAGTTCTGGTCCGAATCGAACGTGTCTGAGGACTTCGATATGGCAATGCGGCTAATTCAGCGCGGGTACACGATCCGGTGGGCGACGTACTCGCTCGGCGGGTTCAAGGAGGGTGTGTCGCTGACGTGTGACGACGAGCTGAACCGGTGGCAGAAGTATGCGTACGGCTGTAACGAGCTGCTGTTCAACCCGATCGCGCAGTGGTGGCGCAAGGGCCCGATTGCGAAGGAGATACACAGGTTTGTCTGGTCAGGCGCGCCGCTGCACTACAAGATCTCGAGTTTGGCGTACATGTTCTCGTACTGTGAGTATTGCGCTGTGATATGCGTATGTAAGCAGATGCTGACGGAGGCATAGACGGTATCGCATGCTCGATCACGATCACTCTCATCAACTACTGCCTGCTGGGCTGGGAGATTCCGATTGATAACTATTATATGCACAGTTTCGAGATTTGGCTTGCGGTCACGGTCGTCTTCACCGGCTCTGGCAACGTCGGGTTCAGTTTGCTGCAGTACCGTCTCGGCGAGGTGTCTTTGGTGCGTTTGGGCTGTTTAGTGGTCGGAGGTCTCCGTGCTGATCTTCCCCGTTCTCTCGCAGATCCGCTCGTTCGCGACCAACATCATGTGGATTCCGTTCTTGTGAGTGTTGGATATTTTGTGTATGGATCTGTGCACGTGTGTTAATAACGCGCATCGCAGCTTCTTCTTCTTCGGTGGCCTCTCGATCCCCCTTACGCAGGCTATCCTCGCGCATCTGTTCTCGTACAACATCCAGTGGGGTGCTACGATCAAGGAAGTGCAGCGCTCGAACTTCTTCGAGGAGATTCCGAAGATTTTGAAGCGGTTCTGGTTGCCGTGGCTCTTTTGCATTGCCGTCGCCGTTGGCATGATCATCCTCTCGACGGACCTTGTCCCAGTCGCATGGCAGATCAACGGGTCCGCGTGGGCAGTCATCTTCCCGTTGGCCGTCGTCATTGGATGCCACATCTTGTTCCCGGTACGTGTGGTCATCTCATGCCATATGGTTGTATGCTGATGCCGTTGTGTGCAGATCGTGCTCAACCCATGGTTGATGGTCTTCTCGTACTGATCGCGGAGCTGGCATCCACAGTTCAGGGCGAGCCCCGAATTTTTGTCCATATACCTCTGGCGATTATACCATAGTGGACATGGACAGCTAACTGACTCTGGACTCTCCTCCCCTTCCCCCCACCCTCTTTTGTTGTGTGTACTGCTGCAGTACCGTCCATTCCTTTTACTCTGGGCGCCGCGCATGCCCACTTATTTTGCGTACAATTGCTCATCTAGTCCCGCGAGTCCTCCTAGTTTGTACATGCTTCGCGCTAGTCGTTTTTATTCGAGTGTAACGGACCAAACACACCGCTCCCCTAGTGCGTACTACTGTGCGTTTCATGCTGCTGCTCGAATTTTCTTTCATCTTTTCTCACTCGCTACGTACGCGTTTTGGTACATGCAGGCACAAATAGAACTCTCCTCCAAGCTTATAGTGACAGTGTCGATTCGGAGCTGCTCGTACAATACATGATCTCTGGAAGTCAATATAAATAGTGAACAATTTTGATGTGCACGCCATGCCGAGCATGATGTGGAATAGATGGTGCGTCTGAACGTTTTGAAGAGCTTCAGAATTTGTCTTGGCACGTCCTGATATACTGTGCCCCGAAGCAACCATGACTGAATCGACTAATTCATAACTCCGCAACTAGGAATGCGAACATATCATACAACCTTGCTCATCGTGACGCACTCACGGATCTCTTGCGGTGGTCAATTTCTGTGGCCAATCCGTGCTTGACTGCTCACCCGCAGAGGAATATTCAAGGAGCTCGCTGCTCTCTTGACATTATCCATGCAAGGCCATCAGCTCGTCACGACATACTTAAGCCCAGAGAATACTGAAAGCATGGTGACGTTATCCATACGATGCCGGCGGAATTACTTATGAGAAGCGCGCCGACGAGTCATCTCGCTCTGATGGAATGTGTATGATTCAATATTGTAAGCATTACAAATGGATATATTACTACGCTCATTGAGCGGAGGGTCGAATGATTGCAGGTCAATAACCTCATTGCATCCCTTGCCAGTTCGCAGAGGCGCTGTAAACTCGAGCCACGTCCGCAACCGATAAAATGCGAGCCCGCTAATGATCCGAGATGGGCAAAGCGTCGAAGATCGGGCATAGAGCATCCCATTCCACTGAACAGATGAATCAGCACCAGGGAGAATCTTCGTTGAATTGTCACGAATACTTACGAGGAGGCGCATCCACGTACGGTGTCGCGTACGTGTCCTCTGCCATGACGACAGCAAAGCCGGTGTTGAGATGGAAATCAATGTGGCAATGCAAGAACCACGGCCCAGGATTGTTGGTCTGCAGAGACAAGGCGATCAGACGGTGCAGCCTGTGTTAGTCTAGAGAGAGCACGTACATCGAATCGGATCGTCACGTTGTCTCCAGCCAGACCGATGCTGACCGTATCACGGATAACTGGGTTGTCATAATTGGGGGTGAGCTGACCCGCGCTCCTGACGACCGAGAAAGAATGCTACGGGCACCGAGTAAGAGTTGGTCATCGTATTGTGAGAGAGGATTACTTACACCGTGCAGGTGCAGAGGATGTGGACCGCCTATTACACCACCTGGCATCGAAATCTCGACAGACTTGTTGGGAGGCAAGCCGTATATACTGCCCTCCGGCATTAGATCCCATGGTGAGTAGTCTCCGTGCAGAATTTGCAGGAGGACGGGAACTGAAGGACTCTGGAAAGTGTGGTTATTTACGTAGAACAAACCATCGGTCTGGAAACGATTACTAATTCAGTTTGATGACCAATAGCACCGCCACGAAAGACACTCACAAAGTTGAAAAAGAAATCAAGATTGATGTTCACATCGGCACCACCAGGGTAGGGCTCTCCAGGCTGGATGAACCGTCAGTAGCTACCAAGGCGGTCAGTTGCCTCGATGTATAACTTACAACAGGGTGATTGCCATATGCACGCAGGTCAGACTCGTTGAGCGGATGATTTGTGAAGCTGATGGTTGTGGGTTCCTCGTCGGGGGCGCCGACGTATCGGAGGATGGCCATGCCCGGTGGCGGTGGCAGTGGAGTCGTACCTACAGCCACATTCTCAGGAGAAGCGCGGATCCAGTAGTTGCCGATTGTCTGATTTGCCTCCAGCTGTGAAACGAAATCGAAGCTCTAGCATCAGCAGCCAAGTTCACGATGATTCTGGACATACAATGAACGAGTAGCGTTGCGCCGCGAAAATCTCAATGGAATCGATACCTGGCAACGGTTGCGTGCTCTGTCCGTCAGCCTCGATAATGGTGACAGTATGATTGTCGATGCTGAAGTTGAAATAGGCTTCGCAAGCCATAGAAATCAGCCGGAACCGGTAGCTAAGCAAGGAGAGAGTTAGATTCTACATATTGTTTGATCTGCACGACTTACCGTTTCCCCTGGGTCACGGTGATAACAGACAGCGGAGAAGTAGTATCGTTCGCTTGCCGTCCCAGACCATTAATGAGAACCGCTTCCGAGTTTCTGATGAAGAGAACATTAGTAAGAAACAACGACGGGCTCATGAGTCTCAATGAGACATACGATGGGATAGGGACTTGAGCAGTAGGAATATGGTACCAGTCAGTGAGAGTGATGATGGTGGACTCTGTTCGAGCTCCAAAATTAGCGGGTAGCGGTGTACACCAATTGAGGCACTGACCGTTATCCACATCGTATAGGTCCGCATACGGATCATCTGGGTCATAGACGATAAATGGGCCACGCAGACCATCGCAATATTGATAAGACTCGTGACTATGATACCAGAACGTCCCTGTAGTAGAGAATCAGCACCAGAGCATCCAAAATGTATGAGATATACGTACCAGCCTGATCCGGGACGTTGAAGTCATACAAGAAGGAATTATGAGACGCAATTGGGCATTGAGTCACAAAAGCCGTTCCATCAGCCCAGTTCGTGTGGTGTTGGAAGAGACCATGCCAGTGCTACATCACTTTCCGTTAATCATATGTATCATAGATTGCATTGACCTGTCTTACAACAGTGGTGGTCCTGTTCATCGAATGGTCTTGCAATTCATTTTGGACATTGATTTGGAAATTATCGCCCTGCCCTATGGTGAGTAACGTCAGAGCAAGGCACGGAAGCGGCATACCTTGTACCCTGTAATGGGAGGTCCAGGGGTTACTCCGTTAACGAGCACGGCCTCCCGTGTAAATCCATCCGGGGTCACTGGACCGTTTGTGAGGGTTAGGCTGGTAACGGGGCCCAGGGATGCAGCGGTTCCAATATAAAGAGATATAGCAGTAAAAGCGGATGTCAGTATGAAGGAAGCCATCTCAAGGAAAGTATTCAGTCTGGTGTGACTAAATCCGAGAGAGGACTGCGGTGAGCTCTGCAGACATGGCGAGGTGCTCAGCAGGGTTTATGTAGTGCAGCACCGAACAGCAAGTCTTTCGGGATCTGTCAGGTCGTTGGCCATGGATGCGCCGCAATCATCGCACGGCGACGATGAAACAAGGCGGCGACGGAGAGCACATGTACGGGCGACGACATGGCACAAATTTAGTTGAGACAGCTCGGTCTAGCTCACGCGTTCTGGCATCGCATTTTTAGTGTAGTCTGTCACCCTCTGTCGTCCACGAGGTTATCCGACGTCGCAGAAGAGCGCCGCAGAAGGTTTGCAAGATGCAATAATGATAATGCAACGCACAGAACGGGCACCGCATCGTACTGGCGCAACAGCGTTACGGCACATGCGGGACACGGCCGCTGGAGGGGACGGCTGTGACAGCACCTCTGCATACGATCTGCTTGCCCGACGAGCCACTGACATCAGCGTCGTTGGAGAGTGACAATGTCCGGGTCCTGCTGTGCTTGTTATGGAGCATGTATCGTGTATTTGTTTTGAACATTACAGAGCACCGCGAGTTGACTCTTCAGAGTCATGGCTGTATAGCTCTCTAGTGCCGAGCTCGCAGCAACAGCCACAGCCGCCATTAGGCCGGATCTGTCAACCTTCGCCGGGGTCCGCAAAGCCGTGAGCGTAGCAGTGAGTCAAAAGTCTAACTTAAAGCCTGGGAAAACTCACGAAGTTTCATGGTACAGAGTAACATAATTCCAGTATCTGCCTACAATGCTCAGGCCGTCATTTCTTTATTTTGATGTCGCCCACCTGAGTAACGATCCCAGATCGAATCCAACTGGCTCTCGTCGTTGACCACTATGATGAACATTACCAACGCAAGTCCTACTCCTTCCGCGCCATATGTGCGGGTTTGTGGTGACCCGCCCGTGACATTGGCTTTCTGACAATTGCGATGTTTCGGTGCAGCTGTAGTTTTGAGACGTGAGAGGTGTGACGATGGTACGTGCACCTGCATAGCTCGCGCCCATAGGCAGTCCTGGATAGAAATGTATCATCGCGCCGGGCCAGTCCATTCAGCCACAAGCGCTCTCAGCCACAAGCGCGGGCGGCCTGCCATCGTCTATTCTGAGCCCACGCGGACGCGGTGCAGTTAGGCGGGTGCCACCCGCACAGTCACCACCAATGCCAAAAATTCCCTGTCCTGGCTGGCGATATGAGCTAATGGACCCTCATCCACATCGCACGGACAGTTACGCCCGCACATGCCAAATAAGCTTGAATGAATTTGTATTTTCCTGTAACCGGACTTACTCAGGTCAGGCAGGAGTTCTCATCGAAACTATCGAGGGCCACCGGCCCACCGTATGCTTCAGTACGAACCACTGTGACAATTGTGATGAAAGCCACACCAAACTCCTTTCAATGTAATTACTCCCCCTTCAATCGCCGCTAATACTGCCCTCCCCGGGTTTGAAGGATCGGTACGTCAAATATCAGTCTACGCCGTCGCTCTAGCTGCAGGCCTCCAATCCTGCGACGTAGAGTTTACGCTCCATGTCTGAAGTTATCGGGATGGCCGCGATATCAAGCACGTTTGGCATCTGCTGACGGTTGCGAGGACGAACGCAGGCTTGTATGTCGTGTCTTACTATACCCCGGTCCGTTCTAGTGTAAACTTTATCTTTCCGCTTCTGATGGTGACTCTTTAGCTCAAGGCTGCATTATCGAGGCCACTGCAGCGAATGGATCGAGCAACAGCTGAACGAGCGCTAATGCAGCTTCTGCAGCGCAAGCTGTGCAAGCGATACAGGCTTCTCAATGTTAGCGTCAGTCTCTCGTTGATTGGATGGGATACGAATGTCCGCGTGTGCACCCAGATGGTCCAGCTATGCTGCTCTGCGTGCCTCAGCTGTACTGCTGTGTTCTTACAACGATCGAACAAGTCACTAGACCCGTCCGTCGGGCGGGCCCACTCCTTGCTCCGGTGCAGTGTCATCTCTGTATCGCAGTTATTTGTCGCGACGAGCGGCATTTTCGTGCCGGCGTGCGCGTAGCCGCATCGCCATCAGCCGCCGTCATCGGACGCCGAGTTGGACGCTGGTCACGGTTTCCATGTTTCTCCGGCCGTTACACATTGATAACTCGTTCCAGACCTTTCTTCGCCTCTTTTGACGCACTGATGTTCCCCTTCAAAACGGTATCGCGCCAGCCACAATCACGAACATTGCGCTCGAACGAGCGTTAGCGAACTCCAGAGCATATGCTCTCACCTTAAGTGCAAGATGACCGCCGGAGAGTCACTTTTGCGCTGCGATGATAACGTACACGCCCGCCGTTACTGCTGTGCCTTGATTGCTCCAAAGCCCTTGACAGTGTTTCATCGAGAGGAATGGAGCCTTGTGGATGAGCCGAGCCGGCCCACGAAAGTAAGCACAACTTTGAGCTGGTCTCGATCACATATTACGCTATCGCGTCGGACATGCGGTGCCTGGTATACAGATCCTCGCACGTTTTTTACGGCTGCACATCTGGAAGCTATCCTTCGAACTCAACCGCCCACTACTGACGCAATGCAACGTCTGCGATGCGAAGAACAGCATACACGGTGCCAGCAGCGACTTGGGCGTCCAAGGAGCGCTCTTAGGAGACTTTACGAGTACGCACATAATTTTTTCACAGAGTGTGCTGCAATCGGTTACTCTCAATGGATATGCACATGCTAAATCTTTGTGTCAGGCCTTAAAGGGATAGCGGAACTCAAAATTCTCTCATATCCACTACCTTCTATTTTTTTGCGACCCAAGAACCCACGTCAATATCTAGGTGATATTACCGAGTGAAGCTCCTTCAATCTTTAATTGCCACACGGAGAATCTCTCACTAAATTGCTTGTATGAATAGCTCTGCAGCGCTCAATTGACCGTACTGAATTATAGAGGAAATCTGTTACAAAAATACGTGTATGTGGGGACCTCAGAATGTATCACACCTGCTTGCCTTCGCCTTCCAGGAATCCTTTATTTATCCCACATACAACGTTGGGTGACTCGGCAGCCTTTCATCTTTGCAAATTGCAACATCGGGAAACCTCGAATCGACTTGTGGCTCGAGAACCTGCTTTTTGACTTGTTCTCACTGATTTGGCTTGTGCATGCCAATAAGCACACAATGAGAAGCTTGCAACTGGATAAAAGTTCAAAACAATGAGGTCCTGAAACTTACTGTCTTTTCTGACCATAAAAGCTTCATAAGCCGGATTTGAGTTTTTCCTGACGAACTGGTGGTGAGACCATCATAGGTCGATGGAAGAAACATGAAAGCCTGTTGCATGCAATAGCTGTCTTGGCCGTTCAGATATTGCGACAAAGCTCACTGTGGCATGTGCTTGGTTATTATTTCCGGCGTTTGGTAGAATCATTATCTCGATCCGCGATCAATGCTGCACGTGGAGCTCTTGCACATTAATATCGCTTTTGAAACTTTTCTCGACTCAAGCCGACTTTCTGGCTGTCTCCGGTCATTGCTACAAAGTAGTCTCCCCGTACAATCTGCGATGGTCACGGCTGTAAAAACGTCGAAGAAACGGCCTGCAGTGTCGCAAGCTGGGCCGAAGTTAAAGAAGCTTCACACCGAGCCGCCTCAATCATCCAGATCGGCAGAAAAGCTCAAGAAACGCAGCAAGCCCATCACACGACCTGTGAAAGAGGAGGATAGCGACTTGGACGGGTCGAACGAGGAACGTACCGACGAAGGGTCTGATGAGGAGCCTGAAGAGCCTGACGAGGAGAGACAGGACCACACCGTGTCGACAAAAGATCCAAACGGTATGATGTGACCCGCATCGCTTGGAAGCGGTCGGGACTATAACACGTGTTCACAGCGGCCCGCGAATCTCACAAAGCGCAGAGGGCTCTTTTAGAGCAGCGTCGCGCTGTCAAGCCTCATTCCGTCCTTCTCACAGAAGCCAAGCGGATATGGCAACTTGCCCACCGGAAGGATATCCCAAAGGCAGAGCGCGAGCAGCACATCAAAGCGTTGATGAATGTGATCCGAGACAACGTGAACGATATCGTCTTGAAGCACGATGCGAGCCGGATTGTACAGACGGTGATGAAGTATGGCAGGGCAAAGGAGCGGAATGAGGTCGCAGTGGAGCTTAAGGGGAAGTACAAAGAACTTGTGCAGAGTAGGTATTCCAAGGTGAGCTATTAGCTGTGTGTGCTTTACGTCTACCAGATCCTGATCGTCGAGCGGCCTGCAGTTCCTTGTAATGAAGGTTATCCGCTTTTGCCCTTCACACCGTGCTTCGATCCTCCGCGAATTTCAGGGTCACGTCCTGCGGCTGCTTCTTCACAGAGAAGCATCAAGCGTGCTTGCAGACGCATTTGAACTGTACACGAACGCGTACGAGCGGTCGCTGCTACTGCGCGATTTCTACGGGAAGGAAGCGAGCCTGCTTACGATCACTGCGGGCAGCTCAGAGGAGCAAGAACGATCGAAGAAGGGTCTGAGGGGTATATTAGAAGGTGTGGAGGGTGAGAGGAGGAAGCGACTGTTGTCAGCATTGAAGGAGAACTTGGTGACTATGTGAGTGCGTCACATTATCAGCTCTTATCCTGCTCCTAAAGTGATGGCACAGTTTCAACAACCCAGATAAGGGGGCAGTCTCGCATGCAATCGTCCATCGCGCGCTCTGGGAGTACCTCGCTGCGTTGAACACGCTCGAAGACGAGACAGAGCAGGAGAAGCTCCGGAGAGAAATCTTTGAGAGGTATGGATAGCGGCTTTGCTTTCGTTATCTCCTCTCTTATACTCCGTCTATCGCGGCAAAGCTGCGAGGATGTACTCGCGGAAATGGTGCACACTAAAGACGGGAGTCGTTCTGTGCGAGAGTTCATCGCTCATGGCACGGCAAAGGTATGCTCCTAGATGTACATAATTGGATCTGTCGCTCATTTTTTGTAACGTTTGTGACCTACAGGATCGGAAACAAATTGTTAAGGTTCTTAAGCCACACGTAATTCGGATGTGCACGGACGACGAAGCACAACTCGTGCTCTTCACATGCCTGGACGTCATCGAGTGAGCCTGTCCCTGTTCTTCTATTAGTGCGAAATGTCATGCCCCGGATAGTGACACAAAACTGACTGTGAAGTCGCTCGTGAGCGATATAACCGCCTCGGCACAAACCCTCTACCAGGCACCGCAAGGCCGAAGATCACTCATATACCTCGTCGCTCCGCGAACACGACGGCACTTTACACCTGCACAGGTCAGCACAATCAGCTTATGCATCTCTGGTGATTCGATTTCGATGTTGACCCCAAGTTCTGATCGCCAGATCGCCCTGATGGAAGAAACAGACGCGATCCGAACACGAACGAGCAAGAAGGACGACGCGCTGCGCGCCGCTGAAATTCTGCGGGCCGCGAGCGACGGGCTCTTGTCCTGGATAGTGGAGAACGGTGTCGAGGTCTCACGAGACCCCGGTGGCAGCCTCGTCATTTGCGAGGTTATGCTGTACGCAGAAGGCGGTCAGTATATCCGGCATTCTCCTGTTCCCGCCGGCGTCTCACCGTTGATATGTTGTGTTGTACAGATAAGACGGCCGCATCAGAGACACTGCTAAAAGCGCTCTCAGCGCCATATCCTTCGACCGACCTCTCCAATCCTCATCCCATCTCGCTCCCACACACCGCACGGATGTATAAAACCCTCCTGCAAGGCGGGCACTACTCACAGCGCTCAAAGAGCATCGAAGCTGCACCCTTGTGGTCTGCACAAACATTCGCCACAAAGTTCGTGCAGGTTGTCCCTCGGGATGCCACGGTAGCCTTGGCGCTCGGCGAGGGCGCTTTTGTACTAGCTGCGCTATGCGAACAGCTTTCTGGTGCAGAATGCGAGGAGAGGGAGACGCTGAAGGGATGGTTTGGGGACGATGTCGAGCGGAAGGTTGAAGAAGTATCTGGGAAAGGAGCTTCGGTGTTGCTAGCTGCATTGAACGCGCTTCACTGACCTTTCTGCTCATTTTGCTCTTTCTGATCTATTCTGCTACACTTCGTTTGGCACTGTATGTCGGAGGTTGATACGGCAAAAAGGGAGACAGACCCGACTGCGGGCCGTTCATTGTCCCAGGCCTGAATCCCATTACTCGAAGGTTTCAATTGACGAAAGGGACCTGCTCCGAACCACGTATCGATATCACCGATCGTTACTACGAAGATCCCTTGGAATGCTCGACCAACTTTGCTCTTCTAGTAATGTTATCGCAGTACTGCGATCATTGTCCTACATAGTCCAACGACTGATAAAATACAGGCATAACTTGTATAAGGATAGAACGTGGATTGAATTCAAAAACGATGAGACCAGAGATTACCGTGTGGCATTGACGAGATCTCGCAGCATGGGCCGCCCCTTCAGTATGCCCTCGCCAACCGCAGGCCTCTTTCCTCTCTTCAATGGTTTTGAGCCGGTGTTCTCCTTCTGCGCTGAGGACGAAATGTCCGATAATGAGTCCTCTGCTGGGCGTTTATTAGGCCGCTGCTCCACAAACGACGAGGCATGCATCTCATGTGCATTTGGAGGTAACCGCAGGATCCATGCCTTTTCCTCCATAAGCTCGAAAAACTCCCGCAGTAGTGGCGTGTTTTGCAGAGTCTGTCTCGAGCCGAAGATGATCAACTTGGACCTCGCGCGAGTGAGGGAGACATTCATTCGTCTCCAGTCTTTCATCAAATCGCCAACCTATTTCGCGGTCAGATCGATCCTAGAATTTTCAAAGCCATACGTACCTGTCCATCTTCGTTAGAGCGTACCATGGAGATCAAGATGCACTCTTTGTCGCGACCTTGACTCCTGTCTGCGGTCAAGATCTCCACTCCTGGCCTCCCCTGCAACAGGTATGACAGTAGCTTGGTCTGCTGACGATACAACGATAGGACGCCAATCTTATCCTCCGTGACTCCGCTGCCGATGAGGCACTCAGCGACCTGATAAACTAAGCGGGCCTCGACTTGATTCTCCACGAGATCCCCGACAGGTGAGTCACGAGCAGGGACGGCGTCTGTGTCAACAAACACAGCCTTACACCTGCGTGATAGTGAGCATTCCGCGGCATATACTTTGCGATACCATCAAACTGACCTTTCGTCCAACAACCGGCTCAGCCAACAGCCTCCTTTGGAACGCTGACATGGCAATCCAGAAGCTGTATGAAGACCACGAAGGAAAGGACGGTTCGGTACCACGAGACTTCGTGTAGCCACAGCTTCGGAGCCGCAACGGAGCCGGTCACTGTAGATGAGTTTGTTTGACAAGGCCATGATGTCCGCATTCATTCGATACTGTTCAGTGAGATCCACCACAGCGTTGGGATGAGCGTCAGAGAGGCGCCTAAATAACGAGACATCCAACCCCCCCTTGCGAGCGGCGCGATTTCGTACCTACCCGTACCGGGTTTTCAGCCACCTATCCGTGTGTAATTGAAGAAAGGGACGTACGAGAGGTGGCAACTGGAAGTGATCTCCGACTAGAACGAACTTATCTGCAAAGCGCAGAGGGCCAAGGCATGCCGGCAACGTAATTTGGGACGCTTCATCGATAATGCAGTAGTCAAACTTCCGTCTCGCGAACAGTGGGCTGGGTGGAGCTCAGTATCCAAGAGAGCAAGGAGAAAAGGACACTGACTGATCGATTGACAAGCAAGTGGTCGCGACAACAGGAGGAGCCATGATCTGATGCTCCAGTTGTTCTAAGCTGGTGGCGGTCCTTCTGCGTGAGAGGGTGAAGTCATGCACGTCTGAATGAATCTATACACTCATAGTGTGCTTCAGCAATCACCGACAGTCACAATCGATAAAGTTGTACCTTGTCGAGATTGCCTAGTCGCAATATCCCAAAGTCCGCGACGTCTTTCAACTTCAGCAGAATTGTGTCTACAGCGGAATGGGTATACGATGCGAGCAGTACAGTCTTGCCCATACTGACCAGGCTTCGGATGATCGCCGCAATGACAGTCGTCTTGCCCGTGCCAGGCATGCCAAGAATCAGAGCGTAATCTTGCGCGGTGAGTACCTTAGTCATGGCAGCTTTCTGGCTGTCGTTGAGATGTGCGATGAGCGACGACTGAATCTCTTGAGAGGGCGGAGGTTCATGAACATGAAAGCGAGGAGGTATGAGATCGACCACGAGCTGCAATCTGCGTGTGTCTCCATCCAAATAGAATAGTTGAGCCAGATTATCTCGCATACGGCCCATTCCGCCGAAGAGCTCGTCTTTGTCAATTCGGAATGCGACTTTTTCTGGGGCCGCATTCTTACTCCTCAGGCGAGCACTGATCGTGTCCAAATTGAGTTCATGGTCCACACCGACGACTACTTCGTGAGGGGAGAGATCGACGATGAACCCTCGGGCAATCGCCAGAAGATCAGGCTCGACTGAAATGGTTATGGCATCGCCGCAGCTAATATGACCGTTGAGCAACGACCCAGAGAGAGAAGAACTCTTTGTGAAGCAATAGGTGAAGCGGTGGATCTTGCTTTCCTTCTGAGACTTTGCCGCGGCGATGGTAGATGGAACCGTATAAGTTGTATCAAGGGTCATGTTGGCAAAGCAGCGCCCGTGCCTCTCGCGTTCCTCTGCGCCCATGGTCCATAGCTCCTTCTTGAACCGAACAAGGTCCTGCTCTTCCAATGAAATCAATGCCTCCCAATGCTTGAAAAATGCGCATTGTCCTTTGGTAAGATGCGACGTCTTGAGAGCGTAGATATCAGCGATAGGAGAGGTTGTGTCTTCCACGTTCTCAACGGCCTGGTGACACGCATCAATCACTTGACATCTATCATTCATCAACGGTATGCGCACCTTGCGATACAACATGCAGGTGTTTAGCGCGTAGCACTTCCCGCACTGCCACGAATCGTCAATGGTTGGAGGCAAGAACGGCTCTACTTCCCGTGTGTCCTCAACGTCAGCAACGGCTCCATCCTCTACGGAGACCTTTGATTCCGATTTGACAGTATGGAAGCGTATTCTCCGCATCATGTATGCTGCCATCTCGTTGCGCGCCACGATTAATGCCCGTACTTCATTCCTCACAGCGGGGACGCGGACGACTTCGTCACTTCGTGTATAGTATAGCAGGCCGCTAGGCACCTCGGAGCAATATCGCTCTGCCATGAGCAAGGTGTACAACATCGTCTGCGCTCGGTGCTCCATGCCAGCCCCCGGACGTCCGGTTTTGATTTCGAATGGCATGACCCAACTTTGTGTCGTTGCACTTCGTCCGAAGATGTCGGTCAAGGAGGTATCGCTATCAGATATGAGGGCTTGTACGGAAGCATCGACTTTCCCCTTGATTCCGTATGTCGGCGACCAGATGTCTTCTTCGATATCATGCAACTGTGAGATAGCCAACAAGGAGGTCTGACCTTGAGTGGCACGTGTGTTTGTGAGAAGTGCGTCGGGCTGTCAACAAAAGTTGTTCAGTAGATACGTACAGTCGGTTCAGCTTCGCATACCTTCGGTTTCTGCGCGATATACTTCTCCGAGAAGGACCTCAGCCCTATCGCCCTTGCCTTGACCTCGGTGATTGCCTGTTCCACTCCAATGTTGATCCTTAGGAGCTCTCCAAGATTCTTCCTGACAATTTCCGCTATGGTTTGTTCAATCCACTTCTGATCCCATCGCTCCTCAGTGAGGCATGCTTGCATGACCTCATGCAGCAAGTTGCCCCATATCAGCGACGGCGTGACGTCGACAGAGCCGCGTACAAGGTTTGATACCAATGGCTTGCGACGACATTGCGGGGCGGTTGAGAGGGATGTCGCTGTGATTAGAAGGTCTGGTTGTAGGACGAGTAGATTCTGCTTTGAGCTGATCGTGATGGAGGGTGTGGGCTGAGCAGAGGATTCCGTGAAATCGCCAATGATGTTGATTATGTCGCCTACGACATTCTTGATAAACCACCCGGTATGGGCAAGGTATCAAGAAGCTCACCAGTTCTAATGTCTGTATCTGCCCAGTCATCCTTGAGAGTTACGGAGAGGCGTTGATTATCGGTCACGGTGTCTACGATGAGTATCTGCGCGATAGCTTCTTAATAATCGAATAGACAGCTTGAGAATTGACTGCGAAAATGTGATAATGAAGGTCATCGCCTCGTTGCTAAGACAGCAACGTGGGGGCATGAAAGTTCGAAGGATATCTCGAAACAGTCGCTGCGCTCAATATGTCACTTTATTGGTACGCCATTGGAAAAAGAATTCGCACGATGACATATGCACATAATCGTGATGCCAGACTCCTTGTGAGCTCAAAAAAAGACTGAACCGTATTGTAGGCGACGTGGTTTCACATTTGGCATCACGACACAATTGACCGGATCTAAGCACGAACACTTCGCGATCTTTTTTTAACAATGCGGACGCCATTTTAAATATATTGGAAACAGAAAAGCTGCACGCACTTTTTGGAAAGGACTGTGGGGAGATTCCTCAAATATCTCTTTGACCACACATCGCGTACACGTCTCAGGGTTGTACCGAGGCGGGCCGCTGGTGGCTGCCTATAAAAATCATTGATGCAACCTCACACAAGCTAATATATATATGAGCTTACGGTTTTCTTCGGCGAGTCCTTCTTCGGACTCAGAAAGTCCGAGTTCATGTCATCCCAATCCCAGTCTTCTGCGCCTTGGAGAAGCTGTGCGACATCGACATCTTCTGCAGAAGCTTCCTTCGTCGGTGTTCGCAGCTCAGTTGAAGAAGACCTATTGCCTGTGCTATGTTCTGGTAAAGGCGCTGAAGACAAAGAGGGTGTCTTCGCCGTTGATGGTCCGTGTGGCACAGTTTGTCCTGTACGTCTCGCTGCGGACTTGGAACAGGAAGTCACAGAGTTAGTGGTATCAACACTTAGAAGAAGTTTATTCATGAAATCCGCTTCTTCCTGTTCGGACCGTTGGAGCGCAGGCATCCTGCTGAAAGGAACGTGACGAGTGGACAGTACAAAGCGTGCGAGTCAGATCCGTCGAGTAGATGGTTGCGCTGAGAAGTGGATGCACGAAGCCTCGAGTACAGAAAGTGTCGGGCCTTTGTGCTGGATAGAAAACTCACAATGTGCGGAGATGGAGGACGGTGGACCAGATCTAACGTGTCTCTGGCGCTCGTGACAACCGCGCGCTGCTTGTTCCTATTTGTTCTTGCAGCGCGTCCTACACGTGACCGTGTTGTGATGCGTCTCTCAATTCAAAGTTCTATTCGTCCAGTAGGAGTTACTAGACCACGTCTTTTGTGCACGACAATATAAAGTACTAGTGTAAAATACAATGGAGCTAGTTGCGTCAACAGCCACGTACCAGGAGACGGACTCAACACCAATGCAGCTTAAATCTTTCCAAAATGGTAAGCTTACACTCAAGTTCGTTGCTTTGCTTTGAGAAAGACGGTTCAGCATATCAACGCAAACGCCGTAGACAGATCTCAAACACCATAGAGAAACTCGATGGTCTGAGAGTTACGGCTTACCAGTACCATCACACCTCGAGCAAGTTCGCTGACAACGTTAAACAAAGCGGCTCATCACGGGCACCATGCCCTTCGGGGACATAACATTCGAGCGTAAAGTTAGTCATCTGAGAGAGGCAACGAGTTGTATATGGGGCATAGCGCATCCCATTCCGCTGAGTGGAGGAATTAAGAACGGAGGAATGTCCTTTCAGCCGCCAAGGGTACTTACGAGGAGGCGTGTCCACCAACGGTGTCGCGTATGTGTCCTCCGCCATGACGACAGCAAATCCTTGGTAGAGGTGGAAGTCGATATGGCAATGTAAGAACCAGGGCCCAGGGTTGTTGGTCTGCGGAGTCATGACACATAGCGATCAGATGATGCAGCCTGACAGCCTGGAGAGAGCGCGCACATCGAACCGGATCGTCACGTTGTCTCCAAGCAGACCAATGTTGACCGTATCACGGCGAACTGGGTCGTCATAGTTGGGTGAGAGCTGACCCGCGCTCCTGACAACCGAGAAAGTATGCTACGGCCACAGAGGTTACGTGGGCTGTCACACTATCAGATGAGAGTTGCTTACACCATGCAAGTGCAGAGGATGTGTCGAGTTCCCTACACCACCCGGCATCGAAATCTCAACGGACTTGTTGGGGGGTAACCCATACACACTGCCCGTAGGCATCAAATCCCATGGGGAGAAGTCGCCGTGCATAATCTGGAGAAGAACGGGAACAGGTGGTGGTATGAAGATGACATTGTTCACAGTGTACAGGCCTGTAGCAGTCTGGAAGAAGCGTATATTTGATTGGGTGGAGAAGAATACGAAAATGAAAAACACATACCTCTGCGAAGTCAAGTTGAATGTTTACGTCTGCACCACCAGGATAGGGCTTTCCGGGCTGGACGGGTGATCGATGACTATCAAAGCACTCGGCTGTTTCAATGGGCACGTATACTTACGACGGGCTTATCACCGTATGCACGGAGATCAGATTCGTTCAGTGGATGATTTGTGTGGCTTGTAGTTTTAGGCTCGTCGTCCGGTGCACCGACGTAGCGGAGGATCGCCATGCCAGGTGGCGGTATAGCCGTTCCTTGATTATCCACTTTCTTTGGAGCCACTGCACGAATCCAATAGTTGCCAATGGTCTGATTTGCCTCTAGCTGTAAACGACATAGAAGCTTTAGCACCAGCGGACAGATCATAGGTAGATAGATGGACGTACAATGAGGGAATAGCGTTGTGCTGCGAAGATTTGAATGGAGTCAATGTCCGGCAATGGTTTCGTATTCTGTCCGTCAGCTTCGATGACGGTGACGGTGTGGTTGTCGATGGTGAAGTTGAGGTAAGCATCGCAAGACATAGAAATGAGGCGGAATCGGTAGCTAAGCAATAAGAAAGTTAGGATCTATACGAAGTTTGATCAAAGGAAGTTACCGTTTCTCTTGAGTCACAGTTATGACGGACAACGGAGAAGTAGTATCGTTCGCTTGCCGTCCCAGACCATTGATGAGAATTGAGTCCACAAGCCTAGCGGGCACGATGTTAGGACAAGATAAAAGAGAGCATATGAGTCTCGACAAGGCGTACGATGGGGAAGCGACCTGTAGTGCAGGTACATGATACCAGTCATTGAGGGTGATGATCGTAGACTCTATTCAGACCCCAGGATTAGCGTATGGCAGAGTAAGACAGCAAAAGTATTGACCGTCATCTATATCGTACAAGTCCGCATACGGATCATCCGGGTCATAGACGATCAATGGACCCCGTAGACCATCACAGTATTGCAAAGTCTCGTGACTGTGATACCAGAACGTCCCTGTAACAGTTGTCTAGCACTGAAGCATCCGGCAATGTCAAGTGCACGTACCAGCTTGATCAGGAACATCGAAGTCATACAAGAAGGAATTGCCAGACGCAATCGGGCACTGAGTTACAAAGGCCGTTCCGTCCTCCGCATTCGAGTGATGTTGGAAGAGTCCATGCCAGTGCTACATCAATCTGCATTAGCAGCGTCAAGCTCGAATCGTATTGAGCACCTTACAACAGTGCTAGTCTTGTTCATCGAAGGATCCTGCAATTCGTTTACGACATTGATCAGGAAGTTATCGCCCTACAGAATATTCAGTCCAGTAGAGCAAGATATAGGAATCAGCGTACCTTCCAGCCGGTTATCGGAGGTCCAGGGGTAATCCCATTTACAAGTACGGCCTCCCGTGTGAAACCATCCGGGGTCACTGGACCATTGGTGAGGGTCAGAATGGTATGAGGGCCGAGTGACGCAGCAGTCCCCATATGAAAAGACATAGCAGTCATAACGGATATGATGATGAAGAAAGGAAGAGTACTGGCCCAGTCAACTAACTTCAATCCGAGAGGAAAGCGAGTTGCATTCTGCAGACACAGTGGCGCGTTCTCGGCATAATTTATACCGTGCGCCACCACACCGAAACCTGCACGTAGGCTCGGTTCTATGATGCAGATGGAAACGTGTGCGCCATAAATAGTGCACACCGAAGCGAAAGAAGGCGGCGACTGCGGGATCTGATCGGGCGGCGACATGGACTACCCATGTAGTCGAGACAGCTACAGCGACATCCGATGCCCGGTGGGTACGGCTTGGCAACGTCCGCTCGCCTTGATCAAATTACAATCCATTGCGTTGCCGTACAAGCGCCTGAGACCCCATACAGAACTATAATTACCCGCGAAGATAAGACACTGCAGGACCATGGAAGTTTCATTTTACTATCAATAGAACGACGTGGACAGCGCACAAGAGGTTCGAGCGTATCGCCCGCGTTGCACGCAACATCTGCGCAGAGCATACAAGATCTGGTCGCTCGAAAGAGCAGCTGTAATACAGCTGTAAGAACCATTCTGCATACGAGTTACTCGCCTTAGGATGAGCTACCGAGGCCAGTTCACTAAAATGTGAGCTATTCCAAATATTGTTGTCTCCGACGCCTCGGATCCTGTATCAAAGATGTCCTCTTCAACTTACACCCGGCATTTCATAGCCGTTTACGTACGTGTTTTACGGAACTGGACTTCGGGTTTCCTCAAGTCCTATGTTACTCTCCGGCGCCGAGCTCAGAGCAAATGGCAGCTGTACTTACGCCCTTGAACAAGTATAGCGTCGAGTCGGGAGTACGAGCTCAAGCATCGTGTATACAGCTCACAAGCGTTTCATGTGCTGTTGTCGACAGACTGCAACAACATTTAGTACCAGAAGCCGCCCATAGTTTCGAGCCGAGAACGCCGCACCTTCGATCTATACTGCTCCGCCATGACAGCGGTGTTTCATGCCAAGAAGTATTTCCAACCTGCTCCGAGCAATTGACTGATTATAGGGGCGAGCGAAGAGTGAAGAACAAATAAATTATGTTATTGAACGAGTCCATGCGCGATCCATCCAGCTGTTTATAAATTGTGTCGAATGGCAGGACGTGGAAAGGGAGATAGGTAAGTGAAGAAAGCTATCACGCATCGTAGATATTCAAACCCGGGTTCAGCCATTCGAAGACTGTGGTTCCCGTGTACTGTGCTCCCCCCACTTCCCCACCGCTGGCAGTGCCGATCCAACGATGATAGATGGTCTCATCCGGATTCTGTCCCAACGATGTCAAATTGAATGCGTACTCGTCCCCGTTTGCAGTGATGTAGCTGAGGATAAAGCCGGTTGGCAAGGTGACATTGGAAGTGGAGTCATGGTACGATCCGTAAGTTGTGATATTACTGAAATCGGTAGTTCTGGAGCCGGCCAGGCTGCACTGGTTTTGTAGGATGACGCCCGACTCGGAAAGGTATCCCGTGCTAAGATTTCGCGTAGAGTTAAGAGGAACGGCGAGAATGCCCGACATGTCGAATGGTCCGACTTGCGCCTGTAAGAAGTACCAGCTGCTGACGACCTCGTTAAGCGGTACAGGAGACCAGTTGGCATCATGATACCCGTTGCCGATGATATCGAAGGCGGTACCGTCGATGCTCAAGTTCACATGAGCTGTGCCACCCGGGATGGTGGTCGCCCAGCCAAGCTGTTCGAATAGGATTTCCTCGGCAGTATTAAGCTGCAAGTCCGAGGACATCGCTGAGTCGAAATAGGCATCCACGGTGCTATTGCAGGCAAAGTGGTGCACGGCGTTTGACTGCAGCTGTATGGTCCCCGACACTCCGAAAGCAGGTGCGGATATTGTCGCAGTAAAGGATGATAGGTCTTCGTCAACGTGAAAACTTCCGACTTCGCCCCATGAACCATGCACAGCGTCATCGCATGAGGTCACGGCGCCAGTGGATGCAGGAAGATTAAAGTTGAAGGCGGTACCATTGGCAAAGATGCCGTTGATCGTGACGTAATATTCGGGGTCAGATGGGTCTCGAGAACCTTCAAGAATAGGATATCCTGGGTACAAATGATCCTCGTGAGATAGGTCTTCAAGTAACGTATGGAAACCTGACACACCTTGGTAAAACAGTACTTCGACGTTGGCAGCAGGATTGTCTCCAACAGGGACTGCGACAGCCTGAGCATACCACCACTCCACAGCAACGTTGCTAACGTTGACGTCAATGTATTGTCCATCGAATGAAGTTGCTTCTCTCCCGAAGCAGTGGCGAACAGATGCGGCGCCTATGAAGCTCCACTTAGCGGCGCGCTACGCAGTGTTCAACGAGAGTACTTACCAGCGGATCCAGTCCAAAGTGCAGTTGCGAAAGCGATTGTAGCGGCACGCCGCATATGCAGGGAAGTCATGAGTTTATACATGAGGGAGTGGGGACACAGGCTGTTGTGAACATGTGAGGACAGCAAGACCTTCTTATACTGTCTGGATATGAGTATGACGAGGTCTGCACGGCCTGCACTGCGGTGTCGATCACGGTGTGCGCGAGGGCACGACCAATTAGCTGACGCCCTTGTATCTAAATGGCCTGGTGAGAGGCTAATACTAGCGGAGCGCAAGAATAGCGGACATAGACACCAGATGCCGTGATGACAATCATGATGGGGAAGGACACCGAAACATGACGACCTCGGTGCGGTACCTGATCTTGCCTCGGAAGCCGTCAATTAGCACATCCCCAAAATCCACCCACGCTCCTAGTAGCCTGGAACAGGGTGCTCGTGAAGTCGCTGCGCAAGCCGGACCGAGCATAGCTTTGAAGAATCGTGAATCTGGAAAGACCCCCGGACCACTAGGTATGCCACAAGGTTGTACACGGATATCTGGACACTGCGGCATCATGGATCCGTTCTCCTATCCATCATGTTTGTGAGATGGTAGTAAAGGGTTTATCCGCCGGATTGCACGTAGCATCCCTGAAATCAGCGGCGATGTTGTTCGCGCCAGTCCCTAAGCAATGCCGGGTATCACGGTCTGAGAAATAAGATGACATGAAGTGTACGCAGACACCATGACAAGACGGAACAGACTCTTTCTGGTCGTCAAACTTCAGTGAAATAGAAGCTACACAGGGATGTTGAATGGATGATTGCGTTACATACAGGAAGGTCTCTAGCACCACGTTTCCGCCAAAAAGGCCTTGATGTGGACATCCACCGGGCATTTTGGTAGCCGCTATGCCCCTGTGTCATAGTATTTGGTTCTGGGAAGGCAATGTATGCAGACTTAGGCAGCGAGGAAGGTATACTCAGGTCCCGGCACGCCGAACTGGAGGAAAGCGCCTGACTAGAAGTTACAATGATGAGATCTCTGCACTGCATAGGAAAGAAGAATATTGTAAGCCTGAATTCTTCAATGCGTGCTCACTGGTGTACGTCGGACGACTGACCCACAACGACAGGCTCATCTCTTCAGACCCAGAATATCCAGGGAATTTCAGTCCGAGTCTACTGATTCGCGCGAGGGCGGCAGACAGCAGGCAGCAAAGAATCTGATCCAATGCCGGATATCACGGTCACCAAAACGTAACGAATGCAACATCGAATGCAACGAGTGGGCAACTGTGGAGGCTGTGGCTGAAGCTAAGACGAACGGAGTAACAGAAAGCGGCGTGACTGATGTGCCTTGGTCACAGAACGATCCGTCACTCGCCGCAACGGTCAAGTTAGTGTGAGTCGAGGGCTTGGTGGCCGAGAACTATAGCTTCAATTCACGGTACAGTGAGGGGCGTATGTTATGGTGAGATAACAAGTCATCGAGTGCAAGGCAAGCATCAAACGTTCCGTATCAGGTGAGCGCCTTCTCGTCAGGACTCAACATCGATTCACAATTCTTTAGCAGTACTTTGCTTCCAGCGTCACAAAGGGAATTATAATCGCATGCTCATAAACTACAGAGTACATCTGTAACCAGCCATGGCGGCCCTACTCTCGTTCCACAAGAGCATACTCGAGAAGCTGCATGACCCCTCTACTAGCGAATTGCTTCTGTTAGCACGCGGTCTAGGTCTTCGAAGGATTGTTTGCAAGCTCCTCCAAATATATGACTCTCCGAACAACCTCGTCCTACTTGTCAACGCCTTTCCCGAAGAGGAATCAGCTATCGGCGAAGAACTGGGCGTCATGGGTTGTCGGAAGCCAGGCCTCCGTATTATCGGCTTTGAAACGGTAAAGAAGGACAGGTAGGTACAGGGGCGGGCCACCAGGATGCATTCCAACTTGTATTTATAGACAGGACCTTTACAAGAAAGGGGGACTCGTATCCTTGACTTCTCAAATATTCACGGTAGACATGCTAACGTCCGACATACCTACGGAGCTTATCACAGGTATCATCATGCTACATGCCGAAAAGTACGTCGCACACTCTTTGCGAGTATTCTTTCCCATTCACATCGCGCAAGGGTGACTCCAACTTCGGCAGAAGCCTTCATTGTGCGCTTGTATCGGGAGAAGAATCAGACTGGCTTCCTGAAGGCATTCTCGGATCAACCTGAGCAGATCACAAGCGGAATGTCTCCATTGAGAACCATACTAAAGGAGCTGCAAATACGCACAGTTCACATATATCCTCGGTAATCAATTCGCATCCAAAAAAGGCGATGCTTCTGATGGGGGCGGCCATCCGCAGGTTCCATGTAGAAGTGAAGCAGTCAATCGACGTGAAGAGGCCAGACTTGGTAGAGTTGGATCAAGAAATGACAGAGTATATGGCCGAAATACATACTGCCATCGTACAATGCATGAGCACTACGCTCTCGGAACTCAAGCGTGCCAATACCTCGGTCAGTATGGTCCATTTGTATCGAATGTCAACGTACTGATGCCATTTGTAGTTGGACCTCGACGACCTAACAATTGACAATGCTTACTTCAGATCATTCGATATGATCGTTCGACGGCTCCTAGATCCAGTATGGCACAAGGTCGGCCCCAGGACCAAGCAACTCGTCAGTGACTTGGCTACATTACGACGCTTACTCACGTGTGTCTTAATGTGCATCATACCTCACGCATGCATGCTGAACCCGACATCCAGTTATCTCCTTACATACGACACTTTCTCGTTTCAATCGTACTTGGACACCTTGATAGCGTCTAACACATTCACAGATTCTGGCGCCGCTCGTCAACACCAATCGCCGTGGATGTTGACGGATGCTGCGAACAATATATTCCTCTATGCGAAGCGGCGATGCTACACAGTCAGCAAGTTGACGAAGAAGACATCTGCAACTCCTCAAGTCACCAGTACGATGGAAGAAGATGAAGCGTGGGCTGTTGTAGATGAACTTGACGGACAGACAGGGAGCTCTCATGCCCGACAACAGGCAACAAAGGCCGGCTCTGAAGAGTCCGCGCGGCCGTATTGGCTCCCTGAGGGCATCGACCCCGTTCTAGAGGAACTTCCTAAATGGACACTGCTCGCAGACGCTCTGCAGGAAATCGAGCAGGAAATGATCAATCGGCAGCCCGTGATGACTTCTCGTAGGCATTAACTATGTCCATATATCCCGAACGACGTTTAAGTACATGACTAGTTTCCCCTGGCACGAACACCGTCCTCATTATGACATCCTCACTGCAAGAGTGCACGCTCCTCAACGAGTTTCTTTCCACAATGGACGCAGATGCTCCTCCCGGCTCTCGCGCGCGCAAGATGATGGAGGAAAGATTACATTTGTACCTATGGTGGAGGAGCAACCTGAGTGGCCGAAAACAAGAAGGAAAGGCGCTTTTTGCGATGTCGAAGAGCAGAAAGGACAGGGATGATGCTGAAAATAATGTGAGCGAGGCGTTGAAGAAAAAGGACCAAGAGAAACGTGAACGGGCTGCGAATAGGAGGCGTGTGAGGGGCGGTATGCCAAGTACAACCTCGACAGGAAGAGACGTCGCGAGCACAGGCCAGCCAGGAGGACCACGCGGAGGAGAGGAAGCAGAACAGCTGGCAGCGTTGTAAGCGTCGATGTCTAGGTTTTTGATAATTGAAACACCACCGATGACCTGCATTCCAGCCTGTCAACACAGATCGACGCCCCTTTACCAGGACGAGCGGAAGAAGACTTGACATCGCTAGACTTCGCCACTGACTTCGACATGCACTACGGTCTGCTGGCGCCCGAACAGACAGTGTTGGTGCGAGCGTACTCTGATGACACGGATGATAGAATGCTCCAAGAGATCCAGCCGCGCTTCATCATAATGTTCGAGCCGAATCTAGAGTTCATTCGGCGTATTGAGGTGCGTTCTTCGCTTGCGAGCAAACACAGTTGATGCCAATGCTGCTCTAGGTCTACAGGAATGCCAATGCTGGATTGGGTGTGCGAGTGTATTTTATGATGTACAGGATGAGCTGCGAAGAGGGCAAGTATCTGACTGGACTGAGGCGGGAAAAGGAGTCGTTTGAGCGACTGATCAAAGAGCGAGGGGTACGCAATTCTAATTTATCTCTACCGGTGGTGGCCGAATGAGGAGCGTGTCACAGTCTATGCTCATGCCCATACTTGAAGACCGAAGACAAGGCTCAGGAGAGTCGCTCCTCAAAACCATAAGCTCGCGGATAGCAGGTGGTAGGAAGGAACTATCCACTGAGCCCTCTCGGGTACGTTCACCGGTCGTCGAGCCATGCAACCGCCTCTGAGATTCTCATAGGTCATTGTCGACATGCGAGAGTTCCGCTCCTCCTTGCCTTCACTGCTCCATGCATCCCACCTGCTCATAACGCCGGTTACGCTGACCGTCGGAGACTACATCTTGACTCCCGACATTTGTGTTGAGCGGAAAAGCATACCGGATCTCGTGTCGAGTTTCAATAGTGGACGCCTGTGAGCTCGTATCGTCTTCTATGACGATTCGTATTGACAGCATTTATCCAGATATACACAATGCGAGTTGATGTCGGCACATTACAAGCAACCGATCCTTCTTATCGAGTTCGAGGAGCACAAGTCATTTTCCCTGGAAGTGAGGGCACAACTCCCGGAAAGCAAATAATATTACTGAAGCGCTTCCACAGGCTGTCGCAGATGTCAAGTCCTACGCAAAACAGACAGGCAAATACCCCACGAAGAAGAAGCCAGGCGGCCCCTCCGAGAACGACACCAGCCTAGCAGCATCGATCCAGTCCAAGCTCGTCCTACTCACGCTGACTTTTCCCCGCGTGCGCATCATCTGGTCCTCCTCGCCCTACGCCACCGCCGAGATCTTCCGCGACCTCAAGGCGAACAGCCCCGAACCCGATCCTGCGAAGGCGGTCACCGTCGGCGCGGAGGAAGACCCAGACGCAGGCGCGGGTGTCAACGCCGTGGCAGAGGAACTATTGCGCACGCTGCCAGGCATCACGGCGAAAAACGTCAAACATGTCATGAGCAAGGTGGAGAGCGTGCGTGCGCTGTGCGAGCTGAGCTTGCCGCAGGTGCAGGAGATCCTGGGCGTGGAGCCAGGCAAGGCATGTTGGGAGTTCATACACAGGGGAGAAAGGAGACGATGACGATAAGACACGTCTTAATGAAGGAATCTTCCGTATGTTGGAAGTAGCAGTTGGAGAAAATGTGATCGTAATCCGTGTATTCCCGCACAACATGCCCATCCATCAACAGAACTGTAGCCAAGAAAATGGAGCACCTGATATCTAAAGCATCTAAAGCAGTCAAGATGTATCATGCTGGCACCACAACAGCAGGAGCGCCACCTGGAACGGGAACAGGTGCAGGAGCGACAGTGCCTTCAGTGATGGGCACTGGTGAGTCGTCTGGCTCGCCGAGCATCTCGCGCAACCTCCGCGTGTCGAGCACCTTAGCATATTTTGGCTGGATGAACAATGCCCTGCGAAACCATGTCAGATATGTCATCAGCACTCAAACGACATAAGAGTCTCACTCTGCCTCCACCAGCGGCGTGCCCTCCATGTCTTCGATAACGCCTGCTACGTTGGACTTGCGTCCCTTCGCTTCGACAAGACGCGTTCGGAGGACAAGGAACTGACACACAATTAGCCAATCCGGTACTTTCGCCAGTGAAAAACAGCTCACCTGATCCGCACGAGTGGGGGCACGATAGTTCAAGCGCAAGTACGCCGTGACGCCAACCTTGTCAGGTAGGTTGAGCAGTGCCTACAGAACGTCTCAGTCTTCAGAGCATGGCACAGTCGCAACGGACTCACCTGACGCCCAAGGCTCTCGTCGAGCAGCGTAGCAAGCAGCCCACCATGCACAATCCCCTCATGGCCGCAGAGGCTACGGCCTACATGTACAAACACCAGGGCCTCACTGTTGTCCTTCTTCGCCCGCACTAGCGGTGGAATCGCCAGCTTGCCGGGCCCATGGAGTGCACCGCCAGTCAAACTGTGCACTCGCCGCTCCAGCGGGATCCTGAGATATGGCCGTGTTTCATACCACTCGTCCGAATTCTCTTGCGTGCGGTGATCTGCCAGCACTGGTAGGTTTTGTAGATCGTCCTCGAGTGAGGCAACGTAGGCTATGTGGTTCGGGTCTTCTGGATGTAGAGGCGGAGGAGCTGGGCGGGGAGAGATGAATGCTGCGACTGACGGTGGGTATAGAGAGCCAACAGAATAAGCAAGCGCAGCGATGCTGCTGTAGGTGGAGAATGTGCGGATGTATCTAAAGATCGTCGAAGAGGACCAGGACGAAGAGGAGCTTGAGCCTGTCGAAGTCGAAGCAAAGCGTTGCGCGGTCCGTCTAGATAGTCGTAATGAGATGTCTATGTTGGCATTCCGACGTGCAGCAGAAGTTAGGGCAAGTCTTCGGAACATCGTAGCGCTTCTGGCGGATGCGGTGCTCCCACTGTTCAGGATGCCTAAAATGATGTAGTCTACAATTTCCTCAGCACGTCATAACAATGAAAGCGCATTCATGTCACACTTACTTGTGGATAGCTGCGAGTGGTGTTTATAGACGGGCTGTGTTGCACTATGGATTGTAGCGGACGGAAAGTTCAGGCCAGTTTGTAAGACTTCCCACAACGCACTTATATCCAACTTCTACGTGACTTGGAGGGAAAGACTCCTTAAAATCTTGAGCAGATTCAGCGGACGGAGGCTGAAGAACGAGGGCAGCTCGCAAGTCGAAGAGAATAAGTTGTCTCGGACACAGTAAGGCTTTTATCTCATCAGCTTCGTCCGAGCGGCCGCTCGTCCAAGCTTCATCCTCATCCTCTGCGTTGCACACAACGTATAATTGAACACAGTGACCGCCACCTTCTGAGCACAAACTCTTGAATCAAAAACACGACTGTCGCCTTTGCCTCGCATTCACAGAAATGGCGAGTACGTCTCAGAACTCCGCAACGGTTCCGAATGACCCTAGTCATTCGGGTTATAGGGAGCTATTCAATGCAGAGCGTGTGATTACATTATCATGACCCCCGCTGCCCGCTCCACAATTGTGGCTGAACGCGCACCCCGTTTCTGCTTTCCCACGGGTGTGGCTGCTGCTCTGTTGTTCGCGGCGGGGCGTGTCTCCTCTATGTCGGCACCTGTGTAACTGGTTCTTAGTGGCTGTTGTGGACCGGTATCTTTTATTTGCTGTTCGCTGTGCACGTCATCCGTCTGTTGTTGTCCGTTGCTCGGCCATTTGTCTCGCCTGCAACTGGTTTTTATGTGAACGGTAGATGAATCCCACATGTCTGTTGAAAAAACGGCCGCACGAGCTTTGGCCGCCGCACGAAAATGGAGCAGTATCCCGCCGCCTGCATTTACGAAAACGACCTCGTCATGATAGAGTGCACCATCACTCGCTTCAAATGCGACGCTAATGGCGATGCCGTCTACAAAGATGGATGGAAACATTGGCATGCACAACTTGAACTCCTCACCGTCACCAAACTCGTCGAAGGACTGGAACCGACGATCAAACATCAGGTCAAAATACAGGACGACGACGTCCGCATCTGACTGATTATCTCTACGTCCTTCGTTGATCTTCACTTCATTGACTTTCACTATGTTCGAACTACTCGTATCTGTTCTGTTATGAACTCCTCGTTTATCCTCTATATAACGCTTGTAATCTATCGTCTGTATATCGCGAACTATCCTGATTTGTCTCTCGTTTTGTACTCAATCCTCTCTATACCGCGAACTATATCTTTCTCTCGTAACGCCGTGCCTCCGAATTATCCGCCGGTCATTCGGACCCGGGTGTGCGGACGCAGCGCCGACACCCCCAAGTAGTTCGTCCAGGCTCCTCCACAGCCTTACTTCGGGAGTTTGGGGGGGGGGGGGCTGAATACTAAGGGCAGGTAGGACTGTGCCACATCTCAGCCACCCTTCAGCCACAGTTTCATACTCCGACTCATTTCAAACTCCACAATCTTAATCGCCCCCCACTCCCTACGACGGCTGCAACAAATCATGTGTAAACAACGGAGCGCAGGAGTGAGCCTTCCCAATTGAGCAACCCCATTTATTATTATATAGGCGCCCACTCTCGTAATTTCTTTGGATGTCATTACACTGTTGTTCTCCAGCAATGCTCACAGCCTCAACTATCAATGCATTGTTGCATATGTTTCAACAAAATTGTACATCTCTCTCTGAGCTTCTGGTTGCTCTTCTATCAGACAGAGGCTTCGAAAGCCATCAATCTCTTGATGATCTGGCAGTAAACACACATAAAATCCTTGTGTTATGAAGCGTTCCCTGCTAGAACGTTCAGAACCACGTGTGCTTTCTCACACGTACTAGTCCACAATGTGGACAGAGACTTAGACATAGAATATACCTAACATCTCCAATAGTCAGGCAGACTATTAGCAGGGTTTATAGTGTGGTCAAGCCTAGTAGACGATGTAGCAGTGAGGTCCTCACTCTACCCTTGCTAGGCCTTGGCCGCTACAGCTACTGCACGTTCACCCGCAGGTTACTAGGTTCACTGTTCTGACTCTAGCAAGCGTACGAGCTTACTACCTCTTAAAAGCGAGTACGATTGCATGAGGGTTCTAGAACTGAGAACGTTCAGAGTCACAAGTGGAAGAGGTTATCTTCCAGCTGCTGCTCCACCTCTTTATATAGTCGCAGACCTATAGTCTGGGGTACTAGTACAAGGGGTCCTCTACAGCTATTTATAGAGTAAATGAAATAGACTGAGACAAATACTAACCGCTGCGAGCCAAGTAATTGGTGAGCTAATGTTAGTACAGGTGAAATAGAAACCTGAAACACGAAGGTCTGGTTTGCATAACCTGAGTGAGTCAATCGTAGAAACGAAAACTGCTAACCCTAAAATATGTCCACAAGACCTATGACCCATAAATAGTAAGTGTCATGTGCAACGTAAACTGTCACATGACCATGAAGCGCTGAAACTGTAACACAAGCTCCCCCTTCCAACCGGCAAGACCCTTGACGACAACTCACCAAACTAGCCCATCAATGTCCCCCGCGAACACCTACGTGGTTATAGACTGGGATGGTAGTGTGGGGTACAACCTCCCAACCATCGTCAAGATCCTCTTGGGGCTGAGGATGGAACTCGGTAGGTGCCCAGTGCGAGATGGATCCGTCTTCATAGAGGACCGCCTTCAGTGCTTCGACACCGTCGGTGAGCCATCCAGGCCGCTCGATCATGGCAACGAGGGGTTGGAAGATGACTGGCACGAACTCACAAGGTGTCTTGGCGTCTCCATAGCAGACTTGATCGGAGAATGTCCTGAATAGTTCAACCTCGTATTGCTCGATGCCTTCTTCCTTGCCCGTGAAGCGAACACTGATGACGCGCGTCCGGTTGGGTGTTGGATGCCAGTCGTGCATGCCTGGGATGGGTGGTGGATAGAGAAGAGCGACCCATTAACTGAAGATGCGATGAGGTGAGTCTTCTGAGTAGAGGTGCCAGGCGACCTTCTGATTGTCCCAAGTGAAGACGAAGGCATAGAAGGTGGCAAAGTCGCCCGTGCCCGTACGATGGATGTAGAGACGATGGCCATCGCATTCCATGAGGAATGTTAGTGGCATGGCGATGAAGACATCGTAGGATGATGCTACATCTGGGGCGATGAGCGATATCTGTCCTGCCGCTGGGTTGCTCGAAGACTTGACCGTTCGAGCATACCTTATCTGCTCCTTGATGGTGTCAGCCAGCGCAAGTTGCAATCCGTCCTCAGGTGGGTCATTGTAGGGGTAGGTGGCACCATTACGACGGGGGTAGCCAGGTCATTCATCGTCGGCATTCCTTGCCTGTTCATTGTCGTCACCCCAGGCTCTCCCCGTTGTCCAAGACCCTCCCGTCGTCCAACGACCTGTCTCATCTTCATCGTCTCCCCAACGTGCACTCCTCCATGAGTCAGCCAGTGCTTCATTACTAAGGTTGTTCAGAAGCGGGAGTTCATCTCCATCGTTATCTAGGAGTAGTCCTGGCTCCGATGCGCTGCGAGTGATGGTGGTGGTGACACGAATGTTGAGCGACATTGGTAGAAGTGGTAGAGCAGGGCAGTTCTCTTTGTCCCAAGGGTAGATTTCCTCATAGAGTTCCCACTCAAGTAGGAGGAGGTGATGGTCTAGTAGAGGGAAAGGAGGGCCACTACTTATACCTTCGAGCAGCCGTTCCTCTTCTTCATACCAGTCCGTGATGTGAATGTTCGCCATTCCTGTACGTTCTTCCGCTGGTATTGTCACTGTCCTTGATACGGTACTGTGTACGACACTGAATACATCCAGAGTGAATGAGAGTGCTGCCGGTAAGATATCAAAGTGTAGCGGATGATCTAGAGCGTACGATGGTGGGAGGATTCCCACTGGAAGCCCGGCGTAGATGGCTGTGAGGATAGTTCGGCGTCAATCTGGCTCTAGCCGGGGCAGGTGAAGTTCCTTCGTTAGGTACATTGGGTAATTCATTCTCATGAATGTTCCCCATGTTCCGTCTAGGTCGATATCGACGTCGTCCTCTAGTGTTACCTTCAGCTTGTCCATTTGGAATGGAAACGGGTAAGGAATTCTGATTAGCCCGCTGGAGCGAGGGGTTAGATATGGCTGTCGTCGAGTTGACCTGAAGTCATCCAGGAGGTGGACTTCGTGGACGTTGTCCGCTCTCTGGATGAGATGGTCCATCATGGTTTGGATGGGTCGTGTTGAATTCAACGTTGGTATGGTTGAAGTCGGCAAGATCCTCGATGGCGAATCCAGCCCCTCTGATAGCGAGATAGACTCCGAGTTGTTGGAAGACCTGGTAGCGATGGTCGTGAGAGGAGTGGGATTCGACGTCTTCGAGAACTTTGATAAGATGGGTAAAAGTGGTGATAGCAGATTTGAGAAACTCGGGATGTTGCACGGGCATTGGGGCATGGACTGAGGGTTCAGGCCAAGTTGTGCTCCCTTTTATACTCATTCAGCAGCTCTCCTGCATTGCCCATTTCTGTCTCTTTTACCCACGACCTTTTGCTGAGTGGATACCCAGCCCATTTTACCAGATATTCATTCTTGCTGCACCGTAGTCGATGTCCAATTATAGACTCAATTTCAAATTCTTTCTCTCCTTCGATAAGATTCGGAGGTGGTGTTGAATAACTTTCCCCATGTGTACTGGTCTGCCGATACGGCATAAGCAACACAGCATGGAACACCGGATGGATCTTCCATGTTGCAGGAAGGTCTAACTTGAACGAGAGTGGTCCCAGAACCTCCTTGATCCTGAATGGTCCTTCTCGCTTCGGTGCTAGCTTGTTCGATTTGTAAGGTCTTTTCAAATTGGTGGCTTCCAGCCAGACCTTATCTCCTTTCTTGAACATCGGAGATCCTCCTTTGATTCTGGCAGCTACACGGGCTTTTGCCTTAACAATTCCTTCTGTGGCCTCCTTGCGGACCATGCTGAGAAGCTTGAGTCTTGCATCCACGTCGGGGATCTCGTCCTGAGGAAACAGTTCTGGCATTCCTCGGGGCTCGTAGCCATACCATATTTCAAATGGTGACTTTTTTTGCCACTGAATGAGTATGAAGATTGTGCGTGAACTCTGCTTCGAATAGGAATTGATTCCATCGATGCAGTTGCTCTGCACAATACATTCGAAGATATATTTCCAGTTCTTGATTCATTCGCTCCATTTCGCCATCCGTTTGTGGATGGTAGGCTGTGCTCATGGCCAACTTAATCTTGAGGGCTGTGCACAGCGCTTGGAATACTTTGGATGCAAATTGTGTTCCACGATCAGAGATGATCTTGTCGGGTAGCCTGAAGTGTTTCCAAACTTGTCGTCTGAATAGCTCGGCGGTTTCTGAAACAGTGATCGTTTTCTTGCAGGGACATAGAATTACCCCCTTACTAAGCCCATGGTCTACCACGACCATTATTGAATCGAAGCCTTCGCTTTTCGGTAGATCAGTAATAAAATCCACGCTGACCTGCTTGAAGGGTAGCGCATTGAGCGAGGGGCCGATGGGCTGTAGTGCAACTTTGACCTTGTTTCGAACAGCTTTGGATTGCTGACATGTGGCACATTCATAGACGTAACTTTGGATGAAGCGATACATTCCTGGCCACCAAAAGTCTCTGCGCACTAGTTGGTGCGCATAACCCAGATTCCCGGATGACCATGAGGAGTGGCCTCATGGTATCGCCGAACAATTTCCTTCTTCAAGGCCATATTGTTTGGGACATATACGCGTCCATGGATGGTGATTAAACCATTGTCAGCATCCTTGATGTCGTTCTTTGTCATTCCTCATGGGACTGGAAGTTCTTCCATTAGGCCGTCCTGGTACGCAAGTATCGATGGGTCTTTTGTTAGTGCTTGTCGGATTTGTTCTGCCATATCTGTATCGATAGCACCAATAAAGAGATCATCTGGTAGCAGGATTGCAGGTGACTTGTTGTCCTGTCGATTGTCTAATTTAGACAACCGTGAAAGCACGTCCGCTTGCACCATTTGTTGTCCTGGCGTATGGACAATCTTGTAATTGAACATAGACAAGAAAAGTTGCCACCTTCGCTGTCTTGGGTTCAAGTCCTGCGGTTGCCTGAAGTACGTCAGATTCTTGTGATCTGTGCATATGAGGAATGGCTCCTTTGTTCCATCGAGATAGTGTCTCCATTCTTTAAGTGCACGGATGATTCCTAGAAGCTCCTTATCATAGATTTGATAATTTCGTTCCGGATCAGAGAGCGACTTGGAATAATATGCACAGGCATGGAGGTCGCCATTATCGTCCTTCTGCATGAGAACTGCTCCTGTAGCGAAGTCCGATGCATCGGTTTCGATGACAAAAGACTTGTCTTTGTCTGGCATAATCAGTATTGGTGCCTTGCCAAACTCGTTTTTGAGATAGTCGAAAGCGGCTTGTTCTTTGCTTGTCCAATGGAACACATTCTCGCCCTTGATCTTAGTAAGATCAATTAAGGGTCTTGCGATTTCAGAATAGTTCCGGATGAACTTTCGATAGAAGTTGGCGAATCCTAGAAATGCTCGCACTCCTTTTATGCCAGTCGGGGCTTCCCATTTGATGAACCCATTGAATTTTGCTGGATCCATCTGAAGTCGTCCTGGAGGAGAACCAGTCCTAGGAAGTCAGTGCATGTAGTCTTGAACACACATTTCTCCAGCTTGAGATAGAGGTCATTGTCGACCATCTTCTTAATGACTCGTTCAAGCTTCTTTTCCAACTCCTTTTCGCTTTCGGCAAGGATGAGGATATCATCCAGATAGCATAGTAACCATTCTTCGGCGATTTCTTCTGCAAATATTTCGTTCATCATTCGCTGAAAGGTTGCCGGTGCATTGCACATTCCGAAGAACATGACCGTGGATTCGAATAATCCATGCTTGGTGATGAAGGCAGCCTTCCACTCGTCTCCTTGACGAATTCGGACATTGGTGTATGCTCCACGAATGTCAAGCTTCGCGAAATACTTGGCATGGCGGAGTCGATCCATTAGGTCCGATATAAGTAGGAGTGGATAGGCATCCTTAATCGTTCCTTCATTTGCATAGCGGTAGTCCTGGCATGGACGTAACCCACCGTCTTTCTTTCCTACAAAGAAGAAAGGTGATGCCATTGTGGATTGCGAAGGACGAATATATCCTTTCGCAAGGTTTTCGTTGATAAAGACATTCATAGCTTCTTCTTCCAGCTTTGATAGATTATAGACCTTTCTTCGTTTAGGAACAAAGTCCGGCTTGAAGTCTATGTTGTGATCGTAAGATCTATGCAGTGGTAACCGTTCCGATGCTTTTTCTTCGAAAATCCGCTTGTACTTGAGAAGATACGATGGTATCGTTACTTTCTTCTTTGAGTTCTTCTTTTCTTCGAGTGCTTTCTTTTGTGTGAGTTCCTGTGCCTTGTTTGATGCCTTCCATAAGATTCCATCTTTCTTTCTTGTTTGATGGGGATCTTTCTTGGCATTCATTCATCGCAGTGCAAGATACTGCATCTTCCTTTCTCTGGCCGAGCGACATTCTTTTTCTTCGAGCGTAACTTCTTGGAGTATGCCAGTATCAGGTTGATAGGCGAAAATAGCTTCTTTTTCTCCTATTTCCTGATCCTCCAAGTATGGTGCTCCTTTTATGTATGCAAGCAAGAGGTCCGAGTCAACGGTTCCTGCTTCATCTGGTACGGGATCGACATCAGACCAGTCGATCCTTCTCAAGGTTCGCTTGGCTTTGGCTTTCTCCTTTTTGGTGATTGGAAGACGAACAGTGTTTTCATCTTTGAAAAGCCATGGTTCCTCGTTTGGTACATCTTCTACATATTGACAGACCTTGACTTCACCCGTTTGCCAATTGATAATCAGGTTGTGATCATGAAGCCACGTATTGCCAATGATCACGTCTTCTTTTCCTAAGTCGATGACAAGGAAGTCATCATTCCATTCGTACATTCCTGCATGAACAGTTCCTTTGAATTGTTGGTTTGTAGAGTTGATGGGACTTCCATCGACACTGCGAATCTTGACTTCCTTCTGCAATTTGAGAAGATGGAGTCCGGCTTTCTTTGCAAACGATTCATTGATGAACATTCCTTTTGCTCCAGAATCGACTAAGGCTCTTGCTGGAATACTTCGGGTTCTTGTGCCATCATAATCTTGGAAGACGATATTGAGGTATATTTCGCTTCCTCATTTGATATCGCCTCGTATGATTACTTCCTCGGGGACTGTTTCTTTATCTGGGTGCCACGAGATCCCAACGTGCACCCAATTCCAAAACCCTCTGAATCGTCTTTTTCCATGGGTGGTGGATATCGGCGTGCATATTCATATCTGTCTGGATTGTTTCCGAATTCCAGAAGATCGTCAAGATGGGGCATTGTCATGTTACGTTTCTTAATACGGTCTCCTCGCATTTTGAGTGCATCTTCCCGTTGTATTCTGGCAAGTTCTTCTTTGGGGATGAATCTTCAAACCACATATGACTCTTCTTCTGAGTCGCTGGATTCATCCTTGGTTCGCCTGATTTTACGAACTGTTTTGGTTTTAACAGGATGAGTTCTTCGTACCCTGTGAACAACCATTTCTTGTTCAGATACTCCCTCAGAGTCTGATGATTGAGATTCAGATTCAGATTCTTCCGATGATGAGGATTCCGATTCTTCCTGTTCCGACTCCTCTGAGTTATCCTCAGAGTCACTTTCCTCGACCCTCTTTACTCGTCGTCATTTCTTCTCCGTTCTCTTGGAGTAAGATTTAGTCAGCTTGGAAGTCTTTCTTTGTCTGCCAGATCCGGAGTATTTCTTCGTCCTGGGACTGGACATCTTGGTCTTGGCATACGAAGTTGTCTTTCCTGAACGATCTGGTGCCGGATCATATTCTGGACTCGTGCATTGTGCAGCGACGTGTCCTGACCTTCCCGCAGTTGTAGCAGAGTCCTCCCACAGAACATTTCTGATGGGTTTCTGGGGAGATCCGGTCAACGTCCATGGTGTCAGGGTCCTTCTCCGTCCTTCTTCCGCTTCCTGAAGAGTCTGAGATGAACTTGAAGATGTTTGTCTTTCTGCTGTGAATGTCCTGGAGGTCCTTGACCTTTCTTGCGGCCTTGCATGCTGCTGCATAGGTCGTTGGTGGACTTTCGGTGATGAAGACTTTTTCTGCAAGTTTCTCATTAAGGCCTCGCTTGAAGTGGATGAGCTTGGCATATTCGTCGTCGATTTCAGCATATCGGTAGAGGATATCGAGATTTCCGATATACTCGTCGACGGTTTGCTTGTCCTGCTTGTACTTTCCTTCAAGATGTACTTGCTAAGCTTGGTCCTTGGTTGCAACACCTCCATAATTTTCGGTAAGCGTCATCTTGAAATCTTGGTACGTCCCAAGATTGCTGTGTTTTGCCATTTGGTTGGCTTCCCATGACTCGGCCCACTTTCCTGCTGTGGATGAGGAGTCGATTTGAGAGAGGATGAAGGCAATTTTGCTGAAGTCATCATTGTAGACTCCCGTGTTTGCCTGTAGGTATCGTTCCATGTTTGGGAGGAACGATGCATATTCTCGTTTGTCTCCCTTAAACTCCTTGATTTTTCCCATCTTCTTTTCCCGTGCCACTGGCTGCCTGGGAATTGCTCCCTGGTATTGTGCATAGAGTCCCAAGGCTTGTTGGTACTTGTTCCAGATGGCGTCGGTGCAAGTTCCGGGATAGACTGGTGGTCCGAGAGCCGGGTTGTATCGTGCATGTGTGGCCATACTTCCTGAGAACTGGAAGCTACCAGTTGGTCTTGATCTGGTTGAAACTGAACGTGTGATTCCAGGCACGTTGGGTAGGTGGGGTGGCTGGTCCCTTCTAAGATGTGTGATTCCTGGATAATCTGGTCGAGTAGTACTGTCCGAGATAGATCTCTCGAGTGGAACTGCTCTTGTTCCGAGAGGATTAACCGGCTGTAATCCACCGGTTTCCTGTGAACGCCCTTCCTGTCATTCAACTTGGATTGCTTCTCCTCGTGGAAGTTCTGTTGCTTCATCAAAGGCTCGTAAAGATTCTTCGTCGAAGTTTTCGCTTCCACGAAGAACTTGTCTTATTTCTTCGATCTCACCCTCGAGCTGCTCTAGCCTCAGGTGATCTGTTGGTTCGTAGGCTCGTCCTAGCCTAAATTGAAGTCGAAGTTGAACCGCTTCTGTCGACTTTTTGTCATAGAGGTCTGTTAACTCCTCTGTGGTGGCGTCACTGAGTGTAAATGGTGGTACTTCTTCGTCAGAAGTCACCGGTCGTGTTTCTGGTGTATCTTCCTCAGATACTTGATCGTGTTCCCGTGGAGCACTCGTTTTGAATCTTGTCTTGTCCTAAGATTCCTTAATTGCCTTCCCTGGGAAGGGCTTTAGCACATCTTCAATGTGTGCCTCAGATGAGGGCTTCTCTTCTGGATTACCACACGAGTAATCGCTAGTGCTTGAGTTCGTTCCTGTAACAAGAACTCCGCACTCCTGCCTTTTGATCTTTGGTGGCCCTTAACCAATCTTGTACGCCTTTTGATTTGCCTGGTAGCATCAACCAGTCGGAGTCCTAGTCTTCTTTTCTAGACCTCGGATATCCTGTGCTCACTTTTTAAAGTGCCCAGCTAGTTACTTCGAACTCCTGCCTACTCCCGTTTGAGCGCTTGAGCGTTCTGGCTTTTGATTCCCTCTGCTTGGTGTCCTATAACCAATTGTCCTTCCTATCCACATTTTCTCGATTGAAAACTGGCCTCGGCAAGGTCTGGGTGCCTTCTTTCAGTGGCCCTTAACCGGCGTCTTCTGTATACCCAGCGCCTCCGGTGAGGATGGGGCTCAAGTCGACACTGCCTTCGGCAGGTTCCTTGCCACAACAAGTACCCAGGTTCCATTTCTCCGAGAATCTCCTGTCTGGCGAAGTACCATAGCAACGGCTACTTCAGAGTGGTTCTCCCTGTTTTTCCCTCTATGGGTGAAGTACCATAGCGACAGATACTTCAGAGTGGTTCTCCCTGTTTTTCCAAGTGGTGCAGAGGCTGCAACGTGCACCGAGTTTTCTAGAATTGGATACCCCTGTTTGAGGACTTGATGGAATTTCTTTTTCTGTAGCGTCCAAGTAGACCCCACTTCTCGTAAGTGGTTCTAAACCTAAACAGGTTGATCTATAGAAAAACCTCTTCCAAATGTTATGAAGTGTTCCCTGCTAGAACGTTCAGAACCACGTGTGCTTTCTCACACGTACTAGTCCACAACGTGG